GCCCTGGCAGCCACCACTGTGACCTCTCCCCCACGTTTTGCCTTTGCGAGAATATCATGCAAATGGAATCATAAAGGACGTAGCCTTTTCCGTCTGGCTGTTTTCGCTCAGCAGGAAGCATCTGTTGTACGTGTCCATGGCCCAACCCTTTCATCGCTGAGTACCCTTCGCTTTTTATTCCTATCTCTGCATGGAGCTCTTCTGCCGTGTCCAGATAGCGGGATATTTTTCTGTCTGTCTGCTTGGTGCACAGCCGAGCTCCTCCAGGGCTAGACCGTGCCTCGCGTGCATCCGTGTCCCCAGCCTGCGCATGGAAGGAACTTGACACAGCATGGTGTCGGGGCAGCTGTGCATTGACAGCGCGGACCCTGGACTCTCTCTACCTCTCCGGGAGGGGCAGCGTGCCCACCGAGGCATCGGACCCCCTGCAGAAGCCCGGCTGAGCCTGGGTTCTGGCTCTCCGCAGGGCCCTGGCTGGCCCCTACTCAGGCTCTGTGCTCAGCAGATGCCCCAGAGAGCCGCCTAGGGATGGGCAGCCTGCCTTCTCGAAACCCACTCCCACCCTCGGTTTAGTGTCTGTGGCGGGCAGGGGGTATCTAATACCTCTTAAGGGGCTTTGGAGGGCTCTCTGTGGGCCCCCTGCCTCTCTTGGGCTCCATGTCAGGAATCGCTGGGAGTGTGGTTTTGGTGTGTGCCTGTCTCATTCCTCCGAGGCCAGAGAAGCCCTCTTTGGGCCTTGTTTGCACTGAGTCCCAGCTGTGCCAGCTTGTTAGTTAAAAATAGGCCAAGGCATATCCGCCCTGTGACAGGCCCTTCTTGCTTCAGGCTCACGCTGGAATGCTTATGTAAATATTTGGAGGAACTTGAAACCTGGGACTGTTTCTATTCCAGAGTCATATTGCCTGGACTCTTGGAGCGGGAAGGGGAATAGGGCTGTGGGAAAGGGAGGGCCAGCACGTGTGAGAAACACTCAGGGTGGCGGCTCATTATTTGGGAGACGCTGGAGTTCAGGGTGGTTCCTAGAAGCCAGCAGAAGGGGTTGGCCATTTGTAGTAGGGACGATGCTGAGCTATAGATCCACAGGGTTTGAATCAGACTGACCAGGGCCCAGACCACGATTCGCTCCTTATTGGCCCACGGCCTTGGGCGAGTTTTATGTGGCTTCTCCAGCTAGTGTTCTCTACCCCACAAAGGTGGTTGTGGGATGAAAATGATCACGCGTGTAAAGCCCCTATCAGGACCCAGCGCATAGCACACAGTAGGCCCTCACTCAGTGGTGGCTGCTCTGGCTTCCTCTAGTCTCACCACCTGCTTTTGCCAACAAGCATGACACAACCTGGTGTTGGATGTCTATGAATTGGAGATGCTCGATTCTTTTTTTTTAAATTGTTTTTTAATGTTTATTTATTTTTGAGAGAGAGAGAGAGAGAGAGTGGGCGCGTGCATGTGTGAGCAAGCTGGGGAGGAGCAAAGAGAGAGGGAGACACGGAATCCGAAGCAGGCTCCAGGCTCTGAGCCATCAGCACAGAACCCAACGCGGGACTCAAACTCACAAACCTCGAGATCATGACCTGAGCCGAAGTCGTATGCTTAACTGACTGAGCCACTCAGGTGCCCCTAGAGACGTCCATTTCTGACGTTTCTTCTGTAGAAGGGACACTGGAGCATCCCCGTGCATACCCACACTTGTCTCCAGTGCCACTCGTGTGTCCTCACCTCTGCTGGTCTTCAGCCACTACCGTGTCCTTAAATCACTTTAGCAGCTGTCCGAGCAGGGCTGGTAACTCAGGACTCACCAGCTGCAAGAGGACTGTAACCAAGCTTAAAATAGAGCCGTGTCCCTTGACTGGACCGAGGGTTGCCCGGGCCCCCGATGCAGGCCAGGCGGCGTCTACACAGCCAGGCCGAGCTGGGTTCTGGGCAGCTGGAGCTGCTGAGCCTCCACGAGCGAGCTGCTTCCCCCACAAGGCAAGCCTGGCTTTCTTTGGTCCCGAAGCCCCAGGGGTCCTCAGCCTCTCACCTCTACGCCTCTACCGCCACCGGCCAGACGTTACTAACTGTTGGTCAGAGGAAGCCAGCCTGGGGAGGACAGGGGCCGGGCGTGGGGGAGACAGGGGTCTGGTGGTGGCCGGCACCATCAGCTTAGCAGGCCGTCTGAATGTGGGTTGGGCTGGGTCTGGCCTCCCCAGAGTGACGGGAGCCCCTGGGAGGCATTTCTCAAGGTCGAAGGAGGGTGAGGCAGTCACGCCTAAGAGGGGAGAAGAGGAGAGACGCTCAGTGAGTCATGCTGTTTGGTTGAACCTGTCGCCTTTTAAGCCCCAACCCAGGTCATTGTGTCTGAAAAGAAGTGTGTCAGAAGCCAGCCAGGGAATGCCCACCGGGCAAGGCCCACACAGAAAGGTCAAGCCCTTTCCGCTGAGGGAAGACACCCAGATGGGGCGACTTTGGGCCCCGGGGCATGCCCCTCTCATCCTGTCTTCATGTTGTGTCTGTCACTGAGCCCTCCACGGCCTCCCTCTCCCTCTCCAGGTGTCACCATGGAGTCTGACCTCTGCTGAGCGGACCCAGGCGGGAGGCGCACAGCCGAGAGAGGCGGCCCGCAGCCAGTGGCCATGGCCTCCCCCATCGCAGAGAGCCAGCTGCAGAGAATCATCCGCGATTTGCAAGGTGCCGTTGGGGAGGGGACACGCCAGGCTTGGCTGTGGGGGAGCTGGGCTGTGCTCCTGCCGCCCTCTCATCCTCGTCACACGGGGAGTAACTGGAGCCCTCGGGACACGTCGCGTGGAGGTGTTTGGGGCTTGGGTGTCCGCCCTGTGTCAGGCGGGGGCGGCTGGCCCGGGCCTCCTCTCAGGGCCCTGGGAAGAGTTTGTCAACAAAATCCAATACCATTTTCTTTCTTCTTCTTCTTTTTTTTTTTTTTTA